ACTGAGATTTTGGTGCCCAGCAACAAAAGAGCCAGGGCCAGTTTACTCACAAGTAGCCTTTACGGGGGAGAAACTCCCATAGAATTTCATTCTTGCCTTAAGATATTATAGGATAGTTCAGCAACCTATGGAAAGGATATTGCTTTCCATTATCTTGCCCAGGTTTTTAGAGCATTTCTCTAGAATTCTCTAGAATTTCAGCCCTGCTAAATTCAATAACTTCCCTAAGGGAGTGCTTTAAGTGTCAGACTTGATTTGGTTACATCAAGGGATAAGGGAATAATCGTTAGACGGTGCATGGGGATGGGAGAAGTGGTTCCGCGTGGCACCAGTCTTATTTAAGAACAGTCTGAATTTATAGATGAGGCTGACGAGAAAGTTGGAAGCAACTAGCGAAAGTGTGAGAGACAAGCCCAGGCAGCGCTTTTACAGTACACTGAGAATAACTGGGATACCACAGAGACGTGAGAATGGTTTCAGAAGGGTATTTTAAGTGGTTTTAGATGTTTGTCTTGGTTTCATCAAGACGATACCTCCTGCACTCTTCTTGCTATTCCTAATGTAAGCTATGTGCATTGCAGTTTATATAAGGGCCAGTATTGCTTGCTTTCCAATGAACATATCCTGCAATTAGTAAACCAGAAACACTAACGCCTTGAATATTTCTTCTTCCTGGTAACACAAAATACTTTCCGTGTACTTTGCTTCTAATGCACTGTTTTCTTTGCACCTCAATTTATTATGGTGCTGTGAACCGTGACTAATCTGTCCTTCCGAGTACTGAGCACAGGCAGGGTCCAAAATCCCAAATCCATATCCTTCCGTCCAGCTACCCATCCAGCATCCTCACCAGAAAGAGGGGAGGTGGACAAACACGGCCTAGCTGCTGCAGCGGATGACCTTCGATCACAAGGAGATAAGGTGTGTGAGCAGGGCAGAACTTCCCCATCCAAAACTTGCTTTGCTCAGGAGGCACCTGCAATTTGAGGAGGAGAAAGGGAGTGAAGTTGGTTATACATGCCACGGTGTCACAGCAGGGGAGAGGCAATTCCCAAGAGCCAGGTTTCTAAAGGCACTTGTGAACCTAAAGATGCTCTCATAGACGTTTCACCTAGCCTGTGTCTCTCAGAAAGGTCAAAACTCAAGCAAATTTTTGAGAGAGGGGTCCAATTTCATCTTCTGCACCAGCAACAGAATCAAGTAACATGCACTTTGCAGCCAGGGACTAAAAATATCAAAGCTTTGTACCTCTAACCAGGTATATTTGTAGGCACTTTCCAAAAGATCTGCTTCATAAGCAGTCTGTCCTCAGGTTTCTTACCCACATTCTGAGACCAGCTGACAATTTTTGAGGTCCTCCAGGAGGCACCTCATGACTCCTCACCAACCAAACCCAACCGACCAGCCCAATTAGCTGGGACACTTACAGCTATGCTTGCGTACCGTGCAGCCACCTTCTGAAGTCAGCACTTGATGGTGCTCCAGACGATGCTGAGAAATGCTGTCAACACTACTTCTGAGTGCGACGTGCATATTGCTAGCATGAGCAGCAAGTAAGGCAGGTTTGGAGCCTTTCCCAGTTTTGCCATCAGTGACCAGAAACTTAGTTAGCACCAGGTAGCAGGACACGGTGGTTCAGCACATGGTAATGTTGCCTGGGTCTCTCCCTGCAACATGAGCACGGCCAGGGAAGAAACTTCTTCCTGGTCTCTACCTCTGTGGGCACCGGTCAACACCCAGAAGCCCAGAGACCAACAGCTCCTATTTCTGTACAAGTCAGGACAACTGCAGCAACTCTTTCCTAACTACACAAATGCCTACTTTCTCTCTGAAGTTACTTAGCTGTTTTCAGCCCTGCGATGGGTGCAGATTTCCTGGTCCGTAATTACAAAACCTTTTTATGACTTCTTCGGGTTTATCCCTGGCCTGAGTGTGAGACGCTCCATTTGTTTTGGAAAGAACGTCCCTGAGATTTATACCCATAATTATACAGGTAACCTTTCCGACAGGGATTTTTAAAATGATCAACGCTAAAGCAACCTACGCATTAAATGTGATTAATAAGACGCCAAATGGCCAGGAGCCTGTGCCTCCCTGCTTGTTAAGCATGTCAGCCAAAGCGTCCCCGGCTGATCTCACCACTGGGAGACATCACGGGATACCTGAAACGGGTGCGGAGTGGCCTCGGGTCATTTCCACTGGACATATCCAACAGGACAAACGCCTCTGCACCCAGGGGCACTGCTGCCAGGCAATGTCCACGGGATGGGTAGGGTACTCACGAGCATAGGTGACGGTCCATCTTCTGGGGCTTCACTTCCACTCCGTGCTAATATGTTCTTCTGCCCCTCCTGCTCTCTCTCTTTTTCTTTTGTTCCCCCCTTCCCAGCTGGAACCGGCACCAGCCTCCGTGGCAGCTCGAGGGATGATGAAGAGGTGACGGTGGAATCTAAAGTGACAGGAGACAGATGAGCCCGAGCCTCCCTGGAAGGCGGGTTAAGTGAGGGGCCCGTTTGCTCCGCCACGCAGTCTGTCTCTACAGAATTGTCTTGCAATCCCGCGGGGCGTCTAATGGAGCTCTTTACCTCACTCACTGAGCAGGAACCGGCTTCACCTGCTATCAAAGCGCCCACTACCCATAGCATTGGGGAAAAGAGCATCTGTCAGGATATCTATCATGCCCTGCAGATGCATGGGGTCCACTCCTGCCGCCAGCGAGGGTAGCGCGAGTGCGAGACGAAGCTCCACCGTGCGCAGCGCTGCCAAGAAAGCAAGCTTCACGGTATGCTTCGCAGGTCGCACAGCACTATCTGTTATGGCCTCCATTTAGTCGAGGTTTTACAAAGCTTGCATTTTGCTGATGGGTTGCCCAAAGACAGTAAAAATCAGTCATAGTCAAGCTTGCATTGACCTTCAGTCGACGGCTCCAGTACACTAAAATTACAGGAGAAACTCTGATGGCTGCTTCCCCATTTTCTTGACAAAGTTATTGCGTAAAAATTGTGTATTGATTAGAGGCAGGAAACGTTACTCAGCTCCTTGGGAAAACTGGAGGGTGGAAAGAAATTCAGGGCCTGAGGAAGGAGCTCCTTTAATTAGAAAGGAAAACAAAGTAGAAGAAAAAACCAAACCACCACAACCTCCCCTACAAAGCATCCCACCCCGACATAAAAATCTCATCAGCAATTCTCTCTTAAGGAAAGGAAACCGGACTCTTAAGCTATGCTGGATGCAGGAAAATGAGTTGTATTCCTCCCTTTACCCAGCCTCAATCCGGATGGCGGCTGTGGAAAAGAACCGCTACATACTGCTCCCAGATTTTGCATGCGGTAAGGGGAAACCGATAGATCACCTAACGAGTGTGTAACGACCTTGCATATTTCTGCCTTCTTGCTCAGAGTGCTTACAGGGTAATGACACATTTTGGACTTACTAGCTGTTAATTACTAGTTTCTGTAATCTGCAGAACGTGTCACTAAGAGCACGCACAACCTCAAACGGTCTAAACATGCTCAGAGAAGTTTTCTGTTTATCTTTAACTTTTTCTGTCTCAACATGGCACTGCCATCATGAGATAAGGTGCCCTCTCGCTGTTAAGGCTTTCCCAGCCCCCACCGCCTAGTAGCTGGAGGCTGTGATTTCCTGACCTGGGACAGATGGGACGCTCGTGGGAACAAACCCAGCCCTCGTCTGCAGCTGATTACAGTCTATGGGAAGCTTTCAGAAATCCACAGATCATTCATATAGCCAAATAACAGTCAAAACACTCCCTTGGATACACCCTATCCAGCGACGAACATTTGGATCAGCTACAGGATTTGAGACTGTTCCTTCTGTCCCTTTAACTACTGGGTATCGCTAGGACTTTGCCTTAAATAGGATGGCTTATGATTTATATAACCATCAGTAAGCAGAAAACAGAGCTCGTAGAGTCAGTCTGGAACTACAGAGAAACCCTGCCAGTCCATCACAGGTGGGACTGGTCCAGGCCACAGGGCGCCCAGGTTCCTAGGCAGATACCAGAACGCAACGTACAGAAATGAGCTATTTCAGCATTTTCCTGCCGACCAGACTGGTACAGCCCAGGCTGCTGCACCGCCCCCAGTTCACAGCCTACATATATGACTCACTCCTCCTCTGCACGGTAAACTCTCGCTGCTGCATTTCCTTTCAGCCTCCCCTGCTTTTCAGGACGCAGTCTGGACCCTCACCTCCAGACGGCTCATTCGGTGAGCCGCAGTGACCCCCGCCAAGTCACCAAGTCCCACCCTGCAGCTATCTCACAGCCCAGAGCCTACCTTCGCTACCTCACAGCTAATATCCGTCTCCCTTTGCAGACCAGACACACCACCGCTGTCACTGGGAAAGCTGGTGGCTTGCCCGGCACTGGAAAGGCAGAAGCCGTGGGAAAGACGGAGATTCCCACACCTCAGACAATTAGCTTCTCCATAAATGATTTCCCAGGGCAGCTTAGCTTTGCTAGGGCAGCCTTTCTCCAAAATCCCGTTAATTTTGCATCGATGCATGAATCAGAAAAGCCAGTCTCCCAGCCCATCCTGCAAACCAGTACCCAAGTCGCCTGGTGAACACAAGCCAGGTAGAGCCCCAGGAATCACCAGAGCTCCTGATGACACTTTGCTCGTTCAGAGAGGAGGCACAGGCAGGAGGATCCTGCTACCCAAGGCTGAGAAGAGTCCACAGCAGAGAGGTGAAAGATCCCTCCAGGAGGAAGGGTGAGGAAAGGACATGAGCTAGCTCACCCCTACCCCCACATCAAGAGGCCTCTCAGATCCAAGCTTTCCTAGAAATCATGAAGCTGTAGCAGAGGTCTCCCAGGACCTCCTAGAGCTGGGCTAATATTCACCGGCTGAGAACACGGCTCTGCAGCCTTTGCCTCAGATGTAATGCCTCCAAGACCAGCTGCCGACGAACGACCACAAATCAGACTGTGCTGCAAAGCTGAGATTGACCTAAATACATTGCAGAGGCTGCTCCTAAGTTCTGTCCCTGACTGATCTTTAAGCAGGTTTTGTTTTTCCCCTAACATATGTCTTTAGGAAAGCTGTACTCTTCTTCCTCACATGATGTGGAGTCAGGTTTCATTTCTTTCTGGGTCCTGCTTATTGTTTTGGCCCAAAATTTACTTGCAAGGGAGGAAAAAAAAAAAGGCCAAAAAAAAAAAAAAAGGCTAGGCTGATAGAGAGGGACCAAGCTCTGCACAGGGGTCAGGACTGCCTGGGACAGTTGACCTCTTCCAGAGGCGGCAAACTCCGGTCCCACTAACAGAGCTAATGCACCACTCCAGGGCTGAGCAAACGTTATCCTCCGTCAGGCAACAAACTTCGGCCAAATGCTGCTTGCTGAAAAACTGAAATCATTTCCGTGTCTGCCACAGACATCACAGTGCTGAGCAACCTTAATCCTTTTCAATCATCTTCTGAATTAAATCTCTCCATTTGCCCCAAATAACTCTCTGATGTTGGGGACAGCCCCCTGAAGGGCCTCAGCGCCCGTTTACTGCAAAGTCTCTCCGGGTAGCACACCTATTCTTGCCACCAGTTGGAGGTGAATCTCTCTGGAAGAGAAAGGCAACAAAACGCAACCAAGTCAACATAAACAAGCATTTTCATGGCAATTTTTCCCCCCCAAATAACGCATGGGTTCTTGTTTGTGAGCATCTAGTACTCCTTGAAAGCGGTACTCGCTTGTGGGACTCTGGTGGCCACCTCACACAGAGCTGAAGAGGACAGCAAAGGTAGCGTACAGCCAGAGCACTGTCCTGGTAACCCCCTAGCAAAAGAAAAAAGAGCAAAAGAAAACGTGACGACCGTTTTCTTCTCGTTTCCTTGGCTATCAACGTCCCATTCATGAGGCAAAAAACGAACTACTCAGGTAGACAAATTCTGGTTTCTCTTCCCTCCGGGGAAGTCTCTGAAGAGTCGCCACTAAAGTCAGTAGAGCTCATCTGGATTTACACAGACACGACAGTGAGGAACATGGGCTGTAGGCTTCAAAAGCATTGCCACAAGTACGTACTGCGGTGGCTCCACGTTTCTGGTTGCCAGCAAGCAGGTTAGATGGCGGAATTATCCCACAAGTGTCCTAGATCTTTTAAGCATGCTTAAAATTTGCCACTTTGTTTCTTTACCCTGTAGCAAAAAAATCACTGCCCAACGCTTAGCGAAAATAGTGGATATAATGTCAATCATTAGAGTAGCAAATACTTATCTCACAGGAGCTCTGAGAGGCTTAATTAGTTAATATTTGTAAACCACGATGAGCTCCAGAGATGAAGGATGTAAAACATCCAAAGAGAGATGCTCATAACAAAGCCTAAAGCATCTCTGCTTTCTCGGCTCTTCAGCTTAGCGTCCAGAAAGCCTGGCCAGCTTGAACCCCTCTCCTCGCTGGCGGCGCTGCGTCCGTAAAGCAGAAAGGCACCTAAGGGAGCGTCTCCTGCTGCATGGGAGCTCTCTGAAACCCAGCGTGAATATGACACTAATGACATCTTTCAGAAACGTAATTAGCCTTCATTCATGGCAAGGTACATTAGGGAGAATTCAGAGGCTCGGCGGAGTGGGTTCCAGTGGGTGAGAACTGAGGCTTGCGCTTTGAACGCTGCATTAGGGAAGGGGGAAAAAAACAGAAACAGAAAATGTTCTAATATTACTTAATTACCCCAAGTCATCCTCAGATGTAATCGAGCTTGGAGGGCTAAATGAAGGCTGCGCGTGTGAGACCAGCAGAGGCTGATGCATTTATAATGAGACCACTTTGCAAGGCAAACTAGGTCCCCGCAGAACGAGAGGGGGGTGAAGAAGAAGGACACGAGACGGGTTGGGAAGGCATCACAAGCCTGAAGGTTTGCCAAACTCCAGCAGCTTTGAGTCTCTCTCTCTCTCTGGAGACAACAACTGGCCTGGAGACCAGCTCGGTCCCAGCCACACCATCGTTACACCAGGAGCTGACCCTGCCGGAGCGAGTCCCGTGGCCACGCACTAAACACGCTCGGTAAAACGATCCCCGTTTGGGAACCAGCGGAAACCAGCAGAGCTGGGGAGCGCAGCACCAGCGACTCTCGGCGGGACAGCAAGAGCAAAAGGCTGGGCAAAGGGGGATCAGGAACAAACCTTTTAAACCGGCTCTGCTGGCAGCCGAGCAGCAGTAGGGACCCGCAGCCCTGGAGGCATGGGAATTCCCATACAGCTGCAGGCGCCGTGAGAAACGGAGCACTTACCATCACCGCTGCTTTGCAGGCATGCCGGCTTGGCCCCAGCCAGCGTCACTTGGGCGCCTAATCAGCATCCTGCTCTGGAAGCGCCTCCGGGTGCTGGAGCTGGGGTGGGAAAGGGAGCACAAGGCGTCCTCGGGGCAGGGCTGGCTCTGAACGCGACGGGGAAAACCTTCCCCGCGGCACCCGGGACTTGGCCACGCTG